TTGAATTCGGAGGTTAATCAACTTCAAATATTTAAATGATGCTAATACTACCGAACGAAAACACGCATTTAAAGTATATCATACAGATGTTATCTCTGTACATCATATTTTATAATTTTAGTGATACAGTAATACTATAATTCCTACAACATACAGATTAGATTATTTATTGTCTGCTATAAAATGAATTTAATACAGCAATTCGAATTTGAAACGTCGTCTTCTTTAATCATTACAAGACAAATAATTAGATAAATTATATGATGTAGTACTTAGATAACATACAGGGTGTTTATTAAGTAATTGTACAGACTTTAAAGGGTGAATCTTTGACTGATTTTAAGATAAAAAGTTCATATGAACATGGATCAGCAAAGGCTTGGTTCTTGAGATACAAAGCGTCTAAAAAAAATTTCTGTTTGGTATTTTGACGATATTTTTGTTCAATAACATGGCAATTTAACGAAATTCGGAAAACTGGAAACATTGATGATGAGAAACTGAAATATGTACTTAGTTTTTTGTTTAATGTTAGAGGGCGATACATATAGTGTTGTACCTGGATTTAAATAACATAATAACATAACATAACACTAAACATACCTATTCTCCATTCAGTTTTAGTATTTGTCGCTGAAAGGTGCCGTTATGTAAAAAAAAACATTTTTATAGTTAAACCTGCGTTGAAATTTTGGAAGTTAAATCATTAAGAATTTTTGAAAAACAAGTGAAAAATGCGTCTTTTATTGATTGTATTGCGATATGACAAACTTAGATTCTTATTTAATCGCAGTGACCTTAATTATTAATATTAAGAGCCGAAATTTGGAGAGAGTATACATTAAGAGCTATATTTTCATGTCCTACATTAACATTAAGGTGAATTCAACTATTTAATTTCGAAAAAGAAGATAGCGGCGATGCGTTCTATTACTTGGTCTAGCGAACGAGTGGGGAAGGCGAGGCTTAGCATGCGCGCTTAACGATGTAATAAATATTAACATTTTTTCAGTCATTTTTAAACAAATTAAATTTGAAAAATTAAATTATCAGTAAATGCATATGTCAATACAACTATTTAGGTACAAAAACAACTAATGATCGAAACCCTACAACGCCTGTGAGCTTGGGAAAAATGAATTGAAAATAGCATCTTCTTAGATAACAAATTCCGCCAACGCCAAGCTAATGAAGTTTTTGGGCTGAAATTTTTACCACTTATTAAGGGTGCAAAAAGCTTCAAAAATCCTGAATTACAAGTGTCTGCGATGAAAATTGCATTAATTATTAGCAATTGAAAAAAGCGGACAATTTCGACCATTTTTGAGCTCTTGCGCATAAACAAATTATCGGAATTTAATCGGACTTGTCTTATTTTACAGATTTATTTAATACCTACCTTTTTTGTATAAACCTTTTTTTCTCTATGAATAACAGTTTTTTTACGCCAGTCGAAAAACTACTTTTTCATAATTTTGACCATTGTTTTAACAAAGTTTCCCAACTAGTCTCGAGTAGATTTTTTGATATTTTGTTTATAACACGTTTCTGAACAATATTCCGCAGAGAAACTTCTAATAGAATTTTTTTCCCGAAAAAAAGCTATAAGACTAAACTACTTCTATAAATAAGTTAATAACATTTACAATAATTGCTGAAACTAATTTTTTTTGGACGCTCTGATCTTGTATGTATGTTTATATTAAATTTTATCTTAAAATTAGTCAAAGATTCACCCTTTAAAATTTGTACAAGTACTTAATAAACACCCTGTCTACAGGGCGAGTCAAATTTGATATCGGAGACTGTTATTAGTAGTAGTTTATTTAAATAGGAAATCGTAATATTCACAAACATTCTTAAAGATAGAACAAAGAAATTGATAAAAAATATAACAGGAGACTGTGTACTTTTGAAAACAAAGAGGTTTTTTTTACAGAGATATTTGTAACTTTGATCGTCGTTTCACGTCATATTTATTATTTATTTAAGGTAATCAATGGTACGTCAAAAGGGCATTTTTTTTTAACAACCGAAGACAATTAAAATTTGAGACTGATTTCAGTGACTGTTACTCAAATGTAAAATAAAAAATTACATATCTGTTTTTTTTATTACAAAAATTGCCTTGTTTTGGTGCAACTGGAAAGAACTCTTAATTTTTTTCTAATGATCGTTTTCTTATTTATTTACTATTTTCGAGATATTAACAATTGAAAACTACTTTGCTGAAATTGTCGGTCATGACATACGAGAAACGGATGAATTTTCATAGTATTTTAATGGTAATATATTTGGCTAACTAAAATAAATTCAAAAAATTTTCTAAAAAACCATACCCATAGCCAAGAGGCTACATATCTCAAAATTGTTGTCATATGATAGGATTTTTAGGGAAATTTTTTTGAAATTATTTAGACTGAATATAAAAATACAAGAGTTGATAATACAGGGTGTCCGGAATCGTCAAGTCAAAAATCAAGGAGTATACAGGGAAGGTCAAAATAGGTGTAGTACTTCATAATTTTTTTCCTATCGGGATTCGTTGTGGAGTTATTCGCCTTCAAAGAAAGAAGTTTGAAAAACAAATTCCAATTATAACTTCTGTCGTTACTATGACAACAACGAAATTTAGGCAATTAAAATAACTCATGGTAATGCTCATTTCGAAATTTAAACTAATATTCAATATGCGTGGATTATACAGGAGCAGACGAAATTATCCATTTTGTATACGTTTTTGACAGCGATGTCAAATTTGACATTTTTCTTTCATACTCACTTTGCTAAAAAAAAGGTATACCTACCGTATATCAGTCGATATATTGTACCGTTTTTGAGAATATCGAATTTTATTACCACCATACATTTATTGTATCGAAAATGTGATACTAATATTTCTGTAAAAATCTTGGTTTTTATAGAATTAAAAAAAACTACTCTTAAGTAAGATGTTCAATATGTGCACCTTGAACTTCAATGCATTTTCTGAAATTGCTCTGCTGTACTCGAAATAACATGTGGTGATCATTTCTAATGATGTCGGCGTATGTAATTTATGGGATTTAATAATTCTTCCCTACTAGTTATAGGAGTTTGATAAAAAATCGAGAGGATTAAAATCGGGAGACCGAGGCGGCCACGGAAAAGGACTACCTCGACCGATCCTACGATCGGGAAATGTGGTATTTAAATAAGCCCTTACTGCCCAGCTAAAATGGTGGTGCACCATCGGGCATAAGCCATATGTTATTTCAAATATTTAAAG